TAACACATTGTTTTAATATATATTACTAATATATAAATAAATGAGTTTATAAAAACTAAAAACGACATGAAAATTGACTTTTTACTTAACAGAAACAGCGCATAGCTAGATATCCCACCCCTACTTTACACACTACAAACGCATATACGTATACATTGACTTTGCGCGACTTGGATATATTTATTTGATCATGCATAACTTTCCTATTTATCCATGGATTTTGTTCGTTGATAGCTTAGTTCTTTATAAAGAAACAGGACTTCATATAAAATAAAAAAAAATTTAAAAATATCTTTGTTTTAAAATTTTTTCCTTGGCAAAGTTTATTTTATTTAATTTTTTCATAAAAAAATTTAAAAACACGAAGTGATTAATAAATTTCTCAGAAATTGTAAGGCCTATGGAAAAATGGAGTAGAAAATATTTATAGGAAATTTCATTCACTTGTATTTTCTATAATTTGCAATAAGATTGCTCAACTGGTCAGTGAGATATACATGATTAAATGAAGACACCTTTTTTTTGTCGAATAACGGTAAATTGCAAATATCTCAAAAACGTATTCATAAAAAAAAAAAAATTATTCGATTTTCGAAATCATTGGATAGTGGCGTTCGTGGAACATTTTTGCTGTAAACCAGTGCAATCAGCTGTGATTGGCACAGGGTTTCTCTACAGTCGTGTTAACAGCAATTGAGACTTAAGTAAGAAGTTGTTAACTTGGATAATAAGAGGAGGTAGGATTGTGAAAGGACAAAGTTTCATGAATTGAAGATACAACAACTAAAACTATTGCTGCAGCAACGAATGGAATAAAATTTTAATTACAATCAAGTTGTCTGTCCGATTTTGGCTGCATTGTCGCAGTTGTCAATGCAAGCTTTGGCCATTGTGTGGGCATACAATATGTATGTATTTTGCCCTTTATATTTCGGGAATTGACAATGCTAATCTTGAAATCTAGAAACTCGCAATTTTATTGTAAACTTTGACATTGTGGATGGTATGCATACTCAGAACGTTTTGAAATAGAAGCGCTATTTGTATTGTTTACAGTAAGTTAAAACAGTAAGGAAAACACTCAAAAATGGAATTAACGAAGCAGTTCCAAGCAAATGGCTGTAACTTTTTCCGACAAAACTGGACATGTCGGAACGATACCAGTGGAAAATGCAGAATAGTAATTTCACAAAGCACACCAAACTTGGCTCGAAAACGTTGAATCTTTTTGAAACTTTTCAAGAGTTCATAGAACGAAGCCATGTTGGAAAGGTAGAGCGTTCAATTCCTGTACAAACTGTGTTTTGTGTGCTTTTAATTTAAGATCTCGGCGTAAAATCCGCCAAATCGACTCTCCACGGTTTTCATGTACACTTCCAGCTACAATTACTATATTTTCTTCACTGTGTGCTGCGCGTGGTCTATTCAGTCAAATATTATTCAATGATGAATACTGGCTGTCAAGAGCGGAAGAGCTTTGAACCGGAAGCAAGGAGAGATGGGACGCCAAGCGGACGATAGCAAGCAATTTCGAAAAATTGTGAACGTAATAAAAAGTACAAAACCTAATAAAGCTAACTAATTAGAGTTAACAAAATTTTTGTGTCTTCTCTATTTGTAAACCCGAAGTTCATGATTTAGTTAAATGTACAAGAATATTTGATAAATTTTTTTTTCAAACATAAAACATACACTTCAATATACCCGCTCAAACTATAGGAAATCTGCAATTACTACGAAAAATCCTGAAATAACTGCATGTCGAGAACCAGTAAAAAGATATTAAGTGCGTTTGCAGCCGAACATTATATAGTGTAATCTCGTAAGCAGTAAGGTGTCCAAATTTCCCAGATGTTTGCCCACCTTCGCTCCTCCATACTCGTAGCAAGAGGCCACACCACTGGGCTTCCTGCAACTATTTCTTCACTCGATTTATATTTTTTCAACTCCACTTCATTCATTATACATTGCAAATCTGGGTCTTATTGCAAAGAATAATTCATATCTGCTTTAACTTTATCTTACTCTTCATATTATGGTTACTCTTATACTGGTATACACGTTAACTATTCTTCCGGGTGTGAGTACCCTTGAACTCGTATATAAGCTTCTTGTTCTTCTGACAGTGAGAACTTACATATGTGCTGGTATAAATGCTTACTGCCCTCCCGACTGCTTTTCCTGTGTTGGTATATGCGTTTGCCAGATATAAATGCTCGTCAAAATTTAACTTCACATAAAATTTCTAAATCAGCATAATTGACGAAGCATTGAAGAGCAAATTATATTAAGTGTTACAAGGAACTTTACCTCAACATAAAGAACAAGCGGTTCAGCAAACTTTGGAGAATTTTTTTGGAAAAATAGTCTTCAATGGCCGCAAGTTTGTCTACAGAGTCTTAATATTTTTATATTTTTTTTATATTTTGTATCCATTTTTAATTGTTGATTGAATTTCTAGTCTTTTTTTTATATAAATAAAGTTTTACTTTTCTTTTGTTATTTAAATATTCTTCATTCATGAAAAATACGGTAACTTACCTTTTTTGTTTATATGAGTCGCGATATCTTGAAATTACGGAAAGCGAGGTACGTGGGCTAGATGAAATAACTAAACCGAGTATATCTGTTATCAACACCCAGAAGCTTTATGATTGTTAAGATATTATAAAGCAGACAAAATATATCTACTTCGCGCTATGGGATATTGCAAAGTTTCAAGAAGATCTGACGTATTTGAGAAATGTTTTGTTCACCGGTGAAGCCGATTTCTAGCACAGTGAGTATATAAACATGCAAAGTTGTCGCATTTAGGACGAAGAACAATCTGAAAAGATTCAAGAGTTGCCATTTCATCCAGAAAAAACAACAAATTGGTGTGGTTTGTAGGCCGGTGTAATAAGCGGTCGATATTTATTCCAATATGATGTCGATGAGAACGTAACCGTCAAGGGTGACCGTTATCGCGGCGAGATAACCGATTATTTGATGTCTGAAATTGAAGCTTGTGATCTTGGCGACATTTGGTTTCAACAGATTTATGGAGAGAACAATATAAATAAAGATCGCAATTTATTCAGAAGCATTTTGTTTTAATTATATCTTCGTAGTGTCTAAATCAGCTGTGAAACTCTAATAAATTTCTCTGTTGAAGGCGCTAAATCCGAGTCGCACAGTAGGATTTTGAATAGGTTTGCTTCTTCTAAATCTTATCGGTGACGAGATTAACGTAGTTGTATGCGGAAAACTTGCTAAATCTAGTAAATTAGTGAGGTAATCTACTCAACAGTCTAAATCTCGTAACAATAACATGGTAAGCGCTCTCCGTTAGAAGTTGTGGAAATTAAGTGAATTATTGGGATGTACTTATTTGATAAAACTGAAAACTGATTTAGATAATTTATTTTAAAAGTGTGCAGGCCTGGTTTTCGTCTCTACGGCTCCGATTGCAGATAATTTAGTACCAGCTTTGCACAATTCATAGCTACCTAAATTTTGAGTTGTAACGCTGTTATTATCTTCTTAGTAAGGTATTATTTTTATTCTAAACGCTGAATGATTGCAACACACCTTTTTGGACAAAAGTGAACACTTTTAGGTTTGATAATTATTCCCAAAAATTAAAAAAAAAAGAAATAGGTACCAAAGAATTTTCATAAATTATTTCTAAATTACAGGTTTTTGAGATTAAGGTTACTTTTTCAAACCATATATGTATATATGATGCAATTTCATCAGTTGTATGTAGTATATAATAGAATATCTAAATATAAAATAAGTKTAAATTTTTCTTACAATTACGTTCTAATTATAAAATCCTATAATCGCTAACGAAAAATATAACAATTTATGAAAAAGATTATATAAAATTTACAATAATATTAACCGGGGAAAATTGTTAAATGGGTTCCTGTTTAAAGTACTCGTGCTTTAAGCATGCCAATGCAGAGGGTCGTGATCGAAAATCGTATGATAACATTTGCTGAATTATAGTAAACAAAAAATTATTTAGTACATTTTTATGATGTAAACTGTTTTTTTTTTTAACTTACACTTAATAGATCATTGGAATAATCACATAAATTTGAACACAACTCTTTTGGTTGTTTTGGAAGACGGGGTGGAAAATGTTCTCTTGAAAGCGAAATTGATTGGGGCCACTGTTGAGATGTGGGACGTCCAGTTAACCTGAAAAGGTATTAATAAGGACATTCGATCTCAAATATGTTCCATTAAATATTTTCTATATATATAAAAGTTCAAAAATAAACGAAATTGTAGAAAATAGTTTTTCAACACTTACTCAAAAACTCTATCCAATTGATTAGCTTCTGATGTGCCTGGGAATAGAGCCTTGCGTGAAAACATTTCAGCTATGATACAAGCAACACTCCAAATGTCAACCGAACTATTGTACGATTGGGCCAACAGGACTTCAGGTGCACGATACCAAAGTGTCACCACTACGGATGTTAGTTTCATTTCAAAATCATATGTTTTTGCCAATCCAAAATCTGCAATTTTCAGATGCCCTTGCGATGAAATTAGTAAGTTTTGTGGTTTTAAGTCACGGTGAATAATTCGATGGGAGTGCAAAAAGTCCACCCCGGTCAATAGTTCACATGATAAGCGCTATTGTTCAACAATTTATTATTGTATTATTTAAGACCGACACATATATAAATGTTTCTGCAGATAAGTATTCACCTGTATTGTAATTGGTGGCATTCCCGATTTTGGAAGACGTTCAATCAAATCAGACAGATCTTGTTCCAAATGTTCAAAAACTAAAAGTACCATCAACTGATCCTCACGTTCAAGAACTTGGCACACTTCAAATAGTCTAAAGAATTAAATACAAAAATATATTTTTATATCTGTACATTATCAAATTATAATTATGAGTTTAGGAATTATGCTCATCAGTTGGATTACTCATATGTAAACATGTACGTAATTCAAATTATTACGGTTGCTACAGCGTTTCTTACGGGCAGAGAACGTTTATAATAAAGAAAGTTCACAGCGCGGAGATCATAAAAATATGTTTGGCTAACTCGGTCGAAACGGAGGAGTTTCACCACAGACAAGTTATAAGCGCGTTTCACCACGAAAGTAGCAGAATTGAGCATTTTCAGTGTTAAATAAGAAAAATAATGCTATTTCCAATGTAAACAAATTTACGCCTAGGGATTCGTTTATTTTCTATGCGCAACGACTCGGCCATAATTTATATATATATGATCCGTATATATTTGGTATCAAAGCATATACTTAGTATATATGTACATAAATACATATGTATGTATGTATGTATATTAAAATTTATCTACATGAWTATGTATTTCATGATGATTCCATAAAATCATTAAAAATATATAATAGAGTAAAGTTTGTATTATTACCCAAATAATTGATATAAGTTAAGGTATGTAGTTTTAAACTTATATATTTACCTTAAGGTTTGATATCATCTTAAAAGATCTAGCGGTCGCACATGCGCTCATATACTTACATAAAATTATGTGTGCATGTAAACAAATATGACAGACCATACGCATAATGTTTGTAAATTTGTCTACATGTAACATATGCATGTAAATATGTACACTCAATGCTTCATAAGAAATCTCCGTTCACACGGTCAGCCAATGGCGAAGCTCACTTTTTGTCAAAGAGTCAATGTGGCGACAATGCGTCACAACAATGTATTGTTGGTAGAAAATCCCTGCTGTGTGGAAAAAAATAAATGAACGGCCGCCGATTGTCACCGAATCCCTTGCCCCTGTACAGCTTCGCATACAACCAGCGTTAATATGTATGTTTATGTGTAAGCTTGCATACATATCGACGCAGATTTTTGCAAGCCGCATAAAAATATTTTTTACATTCCTTGACAAATACAGTCAATCCCGGTTATATGCCACAATCAAAGATACAGATTTTTGTGGTTTGTTAAAAATAGCAAGTATGGAAGGGCTAAGTTCTGGTGTCACCGAACATTTTATACTCTCGCATGATAAAGTGATAATGGAGATTTCAGGCGTAGTTGTGAACCGATTTCACCCATATTTGGTACGTGTCATCAGGTTGTTAAGAAAATATTGTATACCGAATTTCATTGAAATCGGTGGAGTACTTCCTGAGATATGGTTTTTGGTCCATAAGTGGGCGAAGCCACGCCCATTTTCAATTTTTAAAAAGACCTAGATGCAGCTTCCTTCTGATATTTCTTCCGTAAAATTTAGTGTTTCTGACGTTTTTTGTTAGCCGTTTAACGCACTTTTTGTGATTTTCAACATAACCTTTGTATGGGAGGTGGGCGTGGTTATTATCCGATTTCTTCCATTTTTGAACTGTATATGGAAATATAGGGGGCGGGGCACGCCCACTTTTCCAAAAAAATTACGTCCCAATATGCCCCTCCCTAATGCGATCCTTTGTGCCAAATTTCAATTTAATATCTTTATTTATGGCTTAGTTATGACATTTTATATGTTTTCGGATTCCGCCATTTTGTGGGCGTGGCAGTGGGCCGATTTTGCCCATCTTCGAACTTAACCTTCTTATGGAGGCAAGAAATACGTGTACCAAGAGATATCAGCATGATATCTCAATTTTTACTCAAGTTACAGTTTGCACGGACGGACGGACAGACAGACATCCGGATTTCAACTCTACTCGTCACCCTGATCACTTTGGAATATATAACCCTATATCTGACTCTTTTAGTTTTAGGACTTACAAACAACCGTTATGTGAACAAAACTATAATACTCTCTTTAGCAACTTTGTTGCGAGAGTATAAAAATATAATATGGCACATAAGCCAGTGCGGATATTTAAGCGAATGGTACTTAAAGCATTAATTTCTATGTATTTCAAAAAACAAACCCTGAGGTGAGGGCAGTTAAGAGGAATGATTTTCATTGAAGCGGAATACTACTTAACCGGGATTCACTGTACACATAAATCAGAGGAATATTGAATATTTTCTTTGGCACATTTCTTGACTTGAAAATCGACTACTAAACTATGTTGTCAATTTTATTCTAATATATTTGAATACTTATATTTGCGGGGTTGTCACTTTTTCCTTCTCATACAAATATCAGAAATCGTTCAATTTATGATCGTCGTTATTTGTGTGGGAATGTCATACGCACATATTTATGTACATATGTACATATGAGCAGCGCGCACTTGTTATTACTGATAAGTGATAATATTGTATGATTTGAATTCGCGAAAGCGAGCATAAACACATATGGTTATGATACATGTGAATATATATACATACATATGTAAGTTTTGAATGATGAAATATACGATTTACATATGTACATTTATCACTATTGTAATATATTTAATTTTTATAATATATATTTTTATATAAATACATACGTAATGAAGTATGCACATAAGTATGAATATATCAAATACAAGAAATAACTATGAATATTGCTTTGAAAAAGTTATTTAATTAAAGTGTATTCAATTGCACCTGCATTCATAAATATGCACAAAAAGAGTTCATACGAATACACATGTCTGCATTTAAACCGTATAGAAATATATGTAAAAGAGCGAACATACGTCTGTTAGCGGAATATATAGTTTTGAGCATAATTTTTATTTCACGCTCAGCTCTGTTCAAACGAAAATGTTAAAATTTCTCCTGCCGAGCTGGCAGTGGTGAAACTCCTCCGTTTCGACCGAGTTAGCCAAAAATATTTTTACAATCTCCGCGCCGTGAACCTTCTCTATTATAAACGTTCTCTGATTACGGGGCATCTCGAGAGGATAAAATTTATGTTATACTAACTGTATAGCCGTGCCTATTGCATGTGGAGACTCTATATTGCTTTTAGCTTTCAATATATGGAATACTAATTAATATTTTGAACCTTTTGTTTTAGATCAAAATTGCGGCAGCAATCGTAGATATCGTACATGACCATTTTTTAATGAGTGTCATTTCAACAATTTATATAACTATTAAACGCCCAATAAATAAACATAAAAAAATAATTTTCTATTAGTCATGAATGTAAAATCGTGCCGATTAGTTAATTTCAATATTGAAAATCGCGAAAATCAGTGATTTTTCGAAGGTCACACTGAGATAATCTCTTAAGGAAATAAAACTAAGCAATGTTATACTTTCATGTTGTGTGCTACGACATCCTGTACGTAGAGCGRGAGAGAGAGAACTCTTCGAAAGGAATTGAATTAGTTTTCTGACTAACCTGTGTGCAAGGTAAATTATTTTGTAAATATGTATACTTTGTCTGGCAACATTAATAATCAGTTTTAAACGACAAGAGCGACAAGACAATGAAGCGGGCACTCCAATAACATAAATTTAACTCAGAAAATGAGTACTTTTTCTATTACTTGTATATGTGTGATTCAATAGAAAATAAGTATGTGAGAGGGATGTTGTATTCTGTTAGGGAGACAGCTCTTAGATTTGATGTTCCTCTCATTGCAGAGAATGATTCAGTGATATTGTGGTGACTTTTTGGGTGGCAGTTTCTCCCTTTAACCGGAGAATGTCCACTATCAGCTGTAGCGCAAAATGCACTCATATATATCTATGAGTATATCAAGTGTTGCTAACAGCTGATTTATAAGAGAACTTCAAAAATGCATACACAAATATACTTATAAGTAAAAACAAGCTACTAATTGCTGGCATTATCGCCAGATGTGGAAATAAATTTGCTTATGGAATTAGGTGTTTTTATTAAGTATATATTTACATATGTATATTATACGATCATAAAATTGTATATGTATGTATCCAAATAGACAACGCTCCTCTGAATTTTCTGGTTTATACAATATAAAATTAAAAATACGGTAAAAGTGGTACTTTTTAGGAAATGAAATATTGTAGGGTTTGAAGTGAATTTTTTATTGGCGCGGTAGCAAGATCTATCGATAAGAAGTGTACAATATTTAAAGAAATTTAGAAATATGTATGAATATATGTATGTTGTAATAAAAATCTGTGGTCTTGAAAAATATGCACATTTTTAACGAAGTTGCATTGAGCTCTGTTTTCATTTTTGATAGCAACAACGCAGTAATTCACGACTATATATTTATTTGAAAAATACCCAAATATTTTCACGAAAAATTATTACATTTATTTCATTCAAATATTTTCACCAAAAACTAATAAATTAAGTATATTTCACCTATTAACAAAAGTAACTACTTTTTTGATTACAATTTACATGCCGCTCTATGCTTCTTCTTCTCAACTGAAACAATTACGTCACAACATAGAGCAATAGTGCAATTTGTCACAGCCTGAACCGAAAAAAGTAACGATAAATTTTTATCGCAATCTTGTATTCTATTATTCTTGTATGCGTCAAAGGACATGCCAGCGCATGGTTGCATCCTGTTCCCATGAACATCTCCTTTAAGCTGAACACTCCCCAACGCTTGGCGAATCACATATTCACGTTGCAACGCACGAAAAGGATGAGTGATCAGATATACACAAGTAGAAACTCATAGAAACATTAACTGAAATCTATGGTACGAGATCCAAAATGCTTTTCGGAGTTCTCTATAAAGTCAAATGCACAGATGGAAATCAATATATGTACATATCATAGTTTCACTCATTTTAGGAAGCGAGTTGGCTCAAAATAGACAGTACTTCTTTATACCTTTCGCACAGCTCCATTTGTAGTTCTAATAATTCAAATCATTTCATTTGCTACATAAAATATATTTTCATCAGATAATGAAGAAAACACTTAAAATATAACAGCACAGAATTGAATTATTTCTAAATATTTTGGAACAGTTACCAAGTGGGGTTTACCAAAGGGGATTCATAATCTTTTATATTTTCAGGAGTAACCTTATATACCCAAAGTTATCGCCCCAATAAAATTACATTTACATTAAAATAAAATCATGCCCTAAAGCGGGAAATCTTTTAAATCATTAAAAAATTTACTTACTTAACAATATTTGGATGATCTGAGGCATTTAAATGTTTCAGCAAAGCAATCTCTCGTAGTGTTGACATGGGAACTCCATTGTCCGTTATTGGTATGCGAACTTTTTTGATAGCGACAATTTTTCCTGATTGATTATCTTTTGCACGATATACAGTTCCATAGGCTCCTTAGCAAATTACGGTCAATAAATCAGGGGGTAATTGGTAAATTAATGATTTACGTAATCCCAAAGTTCCAGTTCCGAAGTTAGATATTAAACGTAAGTTAAATGAACGAAAGAAATGAAAAAAGGCGAAACAAAAATTATACAAATGAAATTAATAATCCGAAACATGTTATTTTATATTATATATTAATGTGAGAAGTAAAAAGCAAATAAGTGAAATTCCATAATAGTCCTCGTAACACCACACACCATTTTGGTGTTCAAACTATAGACACTGAAAACCGTTAAATTTCATTTGTTTATCTTGGAACCAACTTTTTGTAAATCTTGCGAAATGCTTTGTGTTTGATATTTCAACAATGAGATCCCATTGACTCAAGCTTTCTATGAGGTTTGTTTGATATGAATGTAATCAGATGCTGCCATTCGTAGAACTCTGTGACATTTTTCGCCCCATCCAATTCATACCATAAAATTTTAGGGTTGTCCTTACGTGCGTCGACGATAGTAGCGTCACATCCACTGCCTCCCATCTGGTCCAAATGGATTTATTTTGGTCTCGTCAGGTCAGATCACTTTCTTCCAAATCTTGTGGAATTTTATGCGAAATTATTACGAATGGAAGTAGACAAATGACCAGGCTTGTTGATTCCTTTGTATCGGTGTCATTTGAAAATATCAAATCCTATGATAAAAAAACATTCAGGAATAATAATATCTTAATGTTAAAAAAATTAAATGTCATAATTTTTTTTGTTTCCATCGACAAAACACTTGCACATCCAATAATTGCGTCTACAAAGTGGACTTTTCGGCAAAATCAATTAATTTTATTCAAAATAGTCTCCTCCTGCTTTAATACAGCTGCAATATAGCACGGTCCAGAAGTATGTCTCGTTGCCGGTATAGCCGCCAGTATGACGGTGCAAGCCCTGTGAATGGCCTCTACGTCTGAATTTCATGGGCAAATGCATTTTTCCGAAAAGGAAGAAGTCGCACGGTGCCATATTCAGTGGTATCTCCATAAACTTGTTTCATCAATTGAAACGTTTCGGTAAAAGTTTTACCAATTTAAAAACAAAATTTAATGTTGGCTCTTTGTTCGAAGCTCATTTTCGCACCGATAACACAAACATACTGACACTTAAAACGCAATAGCTTCACTTCCAATCGATAAAGATAGCAGATTCTAACGCATCAGTCGACATATAGACGGCGCTACGAGGGACGCTAGATTCAAAAAGTCCTGTTTACTTTGGAAAACACCTTGTATACTCAAACAATTGATCGAAATGGAAATAGTACCGGTACTTTTAACAGTATTTTTGCGCATCAAAATATTTTATTTATGACCAGAACAGACATAATGGGTAGACGAAAAATTCTTTTCATATTTCTAATAAAACCTCAATTTATTTTTTTATATTTATACTAATATATGTATAAATAAACATTTTGGTCGACCACTTTTTGCCATTTTTCCGCTAGAGTGATTAGTGTTATACTTTCATCAGTGTAAATCGAAATTTGGAATTTTCCAGAACGGAAGCGATCGAACAATTGTTGTGCTCCACGTACTGATACAGCATCGCCTCCGTAAACCTTACAAAAACATCTCTAATTTTTTTTTCAACTTCCCCGAATTTAATTCATTAAATGTAGCTTAAAATCTCACCCTTCCAACACTATATGGTATGACACAATGTGATTGATAGCACTGGAGACATACGACTGAAACACATCTATTGACAAAATACGAAAAGACTTTTTCGACTACACAATATTAAAAAAAATTGATCAATAAACTAAGGAGCTGTAAACATATGATATATCTTTCATAAATATTTGAGTATGAAAAAACTCTGCGCAAGCAATAAATACAATGCACAAATTGTTTCAAATTGGTTCGCATCCTCAGTTTTCTTTAAGTGGACAACAAGCGACTTTTTGTTGTTTTCACTCTTAAAGAAAATTTTCGCTAGGAAGAATTTAGCGACGATGACTGTACATTAAGGTTGGGAAGTTGGATTATTTTAAGACAAATTAATTTTTTTATGGATTTTATGAGTCAATGAAAAAAATCGTTATTAACCGGAAAACTCATAGTTTGTTTGACGATGAATATCTTGTATATAAATGTATATCCAAACATTACATAATATTGCAGCTTGCCAGGATCAAATCCGCTTGTCCACTTCACTTTCACTAAAATACCCCCTAGAAAGAATCCGTGTTGATTGCAAAATGTTTTAATATTACTCAAGTATACTTGAGAACATATTTTACTTATAAATATATAAATCATAGAGTGACCGGAATATACCGCATAAGGTTATTATTAAGTACATCAAATGCTAAGATATTTTACGAATCAACCAATATATACAGTATAAAGTTAACCGGTAGTTTCTTATATTATGTGTACGGTATCTAAGTGTAGTACTGACCCGATTTTACTTATTTTTGGCATTACCACATATTATTAACAGAAAACTCTGAGTTCTCTGAGTTTCATTAAGATACTTCACACCAAGATATAGAGAGTAAGACCAACTGGATGCTTTAAAATCCTGACATTAGTTACATATATGGGGCTAGGGCAAGTTTGAACCCGATTTTATTCATTTTAGGGGAGAAGGTAAACTGAAAACAACGCTCACTGACTTACACTAAGATAACTTACATCACTGATATATGCGTTTTAAAGTCAGCAGAAAGTTCAAAATCTTTCTAATAATGAAATATGAGGGCTAAGGAAAGTATTGACTTGATTCCACTCATTTTTAGTATACGAAAAAACTATTATAAGAAAAAGATTCTCTCCGAATTTCTAAAATATATCGATAAAAAGTTCGCAATATGAACTGGGTACCACATATCTGGGACCATAAACAGTTGTAGTCCGATTTGGATAAGTTTTAGTCGTTACATAAGTAGCACACCTCAAAGGCACTATTTGTGAAAAGACTTATCCGGATAGATTGATTAGTTCTTGATTTGTATATTGAAAAGTGAGTAAGTAGGAGTCCCATTTTCGTAGTGTGATATGCGAATGTCAGAATTGTTTGCCGAATTTGGTTTATATCGGACATGAAGGCCCATCGTCCAAATTTGATATCGGCTCCTATAGAGCCATCTTGTTTCATCTCGGTTCTTAAAAGATTTGTCCTGAAAGTCTATTAAACCTATTAGAGGTCAGGGCCCCAACTATTTTTCGCCCACAGATGTCCACAGCTGTTGTGGGCGTGAAAGTGATCCAATTACACCCATCTACAAACTTATCCTCATTTGTTTGCCAAGGAATACGTGCACAAAGTTCCATTACGATATCTCAAGTTTTACTCAAGTTACAGCTTGCACGGACAGCCAGTCAAGTAGACATACCTTTGCATTCACACATGGAATGAACAATTAGAAATATGTATGAAATTTCGTTAAAAGTGAATCTAGAAATGATAAAGTGCCGGCATACTTTCATTTTATTCTTATCTGTTTTAAATACTTTTTATTATCAAGAAGTGTCAACATATAAATTTATTATGGTATATGTATACTATGCATTTCACACATACCAATCCACATGTATTTATTTCTATGAAAGTACAGCTGTTGGTACTGACTAAAGCACCGCCGAATTTAAATCCATTTCTTAAAAGGTCTAAAATATAAGTTAAGATTCCCACTCTTCGCATAACATTTACACAAACCTCTATATTCATAAAAAACTCTAGTATATTCTTATACTAAGTAGTAAAAAATTTCGTTTAAAATGTTTTGAGAGCATTGTATGGTCATATGTATGTACTCATATACGGTTTAATACACCCAACAAACTAAATATTTCACCTTCCTCCGAGCACAATGACATCACTTCAAGACTTTTTAGATCAATTATGAATTCGTGTCTAGCCAAACAACTAAACGTCTGTGAAATGTTCGTTGATTCGTTTGCCAAAACGACTCGAACTTATTGGTACAATCGTGGATGAAATATAAGCGGCGGAGAGGCAGAAAAGCGCACATACTATGAGAATGTCAACAAATTCGACAAAATATTTAAGTCGAAACATTCACATACCTATGTTACACATACATATATATGTACTTAATGAATTGGCTATGGAAATACATATGTATTGTATATATTTTGCTTTTATCTTGCATTTCACCAATGGCGTTACTACAAACAGCTAAGATTCATTTGCTGATTTAGTGCACCTACAAATAAGAATATGCTATATGCGACCATATACACTTGTATAGTTTCAAAGTACTCTGAACAAATCAACATTGTGTCAAATCCAGAAGGACAGGCCGCATAGTCTATAAGTTTTATTAAGAAAGAAATTTAAAAATGCTCCCCACGAAGAATTGTCCTAAGAATTATTATCGGACTACTATAGCATAAAGCCTCCTTACAAATTGATCTTTCTTATTTCACAAATTATTTTCACGAAATTTTACGTAGATTATGGCCTAAGCCAACCCCATACGGTGTGGGAAATATCTTCAGATCAGACCACTACAGCCTATATGTTGTTGCCATGCAAACTTCTATTTCAAATTCAAGGCAAATAGGCAAGCCAAAATTAACGTTTTTTCTTGTTTTTACTTTTCTTTTTTTTTTTTTTTTGATTTGATTGTAATTGACGAAGTTACGAGTATTTTTAATGTTGCAATGTGGGCATTTTACATCAGATTTTTAGTGTTCAAAACTTTTAACCGTTTTCCCCGCAACTTCCTTTATAAAAACTTCTACACTGATTCTTTTGGAATATTTAGAACCTTTTCTGTATATAATTTACGAGGTAACACCCGAACTACATATATTTTCAAATTTGTTAATTATTTTTATTTAAGATAATATCTAAATTGTTAAATAAATTTGCCGCTAAATTTTATACAACATTCTTCAAATGTCGGACATACATATTTCGAAAAACATTGTGAACTATATTCTAAAGAATTAGGTTATAAAATCCGTAAACATACATACATACAGTCAGATTATTATATTCGTGGCATAAGGGATATATTGATATTGATTTGGTACGTTTTTGGGATTTTGGTGTATGTGTTTATGTAATATTCGTTTTGATACATGAATTATCCATTGTAAAATTTTGTTTATTTTATTTAACATAACTAATAAGGGAAAATGTTTACTTTCATTGGGGGCGTTCTTTACGTGGCGGGTCCCAAACTCAGCGCTATGGGGAGGAATTGTTCGCCTTCTCATTTTGGCTCTCCTTCAAAAGGATGCGGAGCGGCTACGCTGGTAAGGCCTTGTCGTCCGCATTGACGAAAACACTCCCCGCCGGGGAAAACAGACGAAGAGGAAGACCTCCAATCTGTTAAAAATACCAGTTGGAGAAGGACCTGGTCTCGCTTGGAATCTCCAATTGGCGCCACATTGTGAAAAGAAAAGCAGAATAATAGGGTGAAATATTCGCGGTTAGGGTTCGAGTGTGTCTATTTTAAAACTATGATTTTAGAGTATAATTATATTATATTAATATGTTTCTGTTTTTAATGACGCACTTATTTTTATGTAAATTTTAAACCGTTAAAAGCAAAATACCTTCATTACATTCACAGTTCTACCTCCTGCTCTCCATTATTAATTTAATAATATAGATTTATGTGAATCTACTACATACAGTCGTTAATCTGTTTTACTTAATTTAAAAATTACCTGTGCCAATGACATTGAGCTCTTCATAGTTTAAAGATTCGCTGTCTTCACAATGCGCCACCGAGGACATTTTCCAATTATCTTTCCGCATTAAATCAGTTTTAATGGTTTAATTAATATGTTCCGTTTTCCGTTTTCCTTTCTCCTTTGTTCTATTTTTGATTATTTTGCGTTATTTCTTTTAACAATTTAATTTGTTTCACACTTATTTCTTGGCAAACTATTTTTTGCGGTTGTTAAACACGATTGTTTTAAGCTTTTATTCATATTAAAGAAATGAAATCATTAGCGAAATAAAAACAATCTGTACATGTATACATATGCGTGTATGAAGAATAATGCAGAGTAGACAAGGTTAAGAAAGCAACGAAATCTAAGAGCAGCTGTAAAAACAGTTTAATCTGAAGTGAGCGGATCAGTGCAATAATTCGCTCCACAACTCAACTCTGCAGCTGATACTTGGAAAAACATACACCGTGAATTGATTAGTGGTCAAGGCAACTTAACAGAAATATTATACAATATTGTTTATTGCAATTGCTTAGGGAAATGTTGAAAATAATAGACAGTTATAGACTCTCTCTGTTACTAAGTACTTACCAGCATAAGTACATACATATGCATTGGATCAATATACATATGTATGTATGTACATAGTTTATGTATATTTTAACGGGGTTTGTAGTACTAATGGTTCCTGTACATTATATGTATCCATATAAACTTGTATATGCATACATACATATGTTATTTGGAAAGATAACCAAGTAATCAAATTAGGAAGTACTGCTTCTCAGAACGAAACAAGAAATAATTCAAGTGTGATGTTTTCATAAATACTTTATTATATACCAAATACATATCATTATAACGGAGAAAAAAGGTTATGAAGTTTCTGAGATTTTGGTGGTTAGATCGTAAATTTTCTTGAATAATTTTTCACTTGTATGGGTACGAAAGAAGGTTTCTAAACGTTTTCTTTCTTGCATGACGTCACGAATTAATGTACTTTATGTCAAACGGAAAGCGACGGGACAAAACTTTCGTAATCTTTAATTCTATAATTCATGGTTTTGGCGGAAACATATGTATGTAAGTGGGTCATCAAACTACTTTCGTCATTTTAACTAGTCAATTATGTGAATAAAACAAAGGCGGAATATCGATTTCATTTTCGAGTAGGAAAACGAATGAAATTCCGAACCCGACATGTAAATTTATTCAAAACTCATTTTACTGCAAATTAATGTTGCATGCTTTTAGGCTGTTAGGCACAAGTGTGTACATATATGGATTGAGATATTTTTGATTGAATGTAGGCTTATTCAAGGCTTTCACTAAGAACTATACATACTCTCTAAATACTAGGTTTGGTTAGGTTAGGTTAGATGGCTGATCAGAGATCACACGTGGTCTGATAAAAGCTGATTCTTTGTGAAGCCATTGAAAATAAGAACTCCTATGTTCGGGCTTACAGATCGATAGTCAATAAAAATTTGTAAAGGTAAGATGTCTGAAGGTATGCGCCCCCAAGTGTCTAACGCTTGACCTACCAAACGCGGGAAAGTCAAGAAGAAAATGCTGAGTTGTTTCTACCGCATCTTCTTCCAACCAACTTCTCCAGACGCCGTTACACATAGCCATACATATGTACTGACAGTAATACGAAAGAATTTCCATCCGCACTAACTTAAACAAAATATTGATAAACTCCTTGATCGGTTTTACTAATAAACATATGTGTGTATGTATGTAAGTTCATATATTATATAATGACGTATTAGATATGTACTTGCATATATGCAAATTTAAAGTGTCTGTAGCGATTAGAAAAACCGAAATGTAATTAGAACGAGTAGCATCTACATTCATATATATTCATGCATGTATCCATAAACCTACATACATATGCAGTAAATAACATGCATAAATCACAGGTAAAGTAGTTTCAAATAAGTCACACAACAAAGAGCGAAGAAGTAACAAGACGTTTTTGCAGTTGAGTGCTATGTTGCAGAAGCACAGAATGAAAACTTTGCCTTTACAGAACTCAACAGACACAATGGTGCACGGAGTGTATAGAGAGATACTAGAACACATATGCTGTCGTTAAAAACAGTGCTGTAAATTATTTTTCTGTTGCTTCGGCACGATTAGGACCGTGATTTTGCTTGGCTGACGTCTGCTGGCAACTGCGGCAGCTCAGCGGTATTCTGCTGTTCAGCTGCTGGTAGTACAGTGACCCCATTGGACAAGAACACACATATGTATGTAAGCATATATGCTTTTTGTATAAATTCGAATATACATATTTATATATATTTTAGCACAAGTTTGAACATATGTAAGTATTTACATTAATAGATATCTATTGTTGATCGATGGACGAGCATGTATGTAGGTACAAAACTAGATTACTACCTATACAAAAATTCATGTACATATGTATGTAAATATGTAAAATATGTATTTACTCGTGTACGTTGTCATCTCAAGCATCTCTGTAAGTTGCAATCATCTAAGTGTGTATGTAAAAAACAATAATTGCCTAATCCCATGAGTACATTCATATGTACATACATATGTAGGTACAACCGCACGCGGCTGTTATTTAATGTACATACACAGTAAGTATGTATGTGTTTGGAGAGTACTGATTAGGTGTAGTTCTTTATATAACGCATTCGAGAGAAAGTAAACAATTATATATACATCATCACAGAAAAATATTTTACAAGTTTATTAACACATCCGCTGGACGTAAACGCGATTTTATACAAAAAACTACTGCAAGGGTGTCAATTCGCTAGCAGTTGCGTTGAAATGTGGTCCGTGCGATAGCCAGTTGTCGAAGGCGAACACATAACAGAAAGGCCAACAAGTAAAAGCTGTTTGGAATAGCGGCGATGAGAACAATCGATTGAATAGACGTTAGACACGTAAACACATGCAAACATTTCTATGTATGGATAACAAGCACCTMTATATGTACATATATATATATATGTATATGTATAAATAGATATATCTAAACAAACGAGACGTGTGAATACGAAGAGCAAAAACAGCAGAATGCTGAAGAGAACAAAAGGCAATAGTGAACGAATAGCGCTTGCGATGTTAAAATTACCTTCGTACATACGTATACATGTGTGTTTATAAATTTGCACATTTTAATTTCGTATACTATGTTATTTGAATACGTAACTGCTTTCTATTGAGTATTAACAACTATTAATACATGTGCATAAGTACATACTTTCTTATAACAGAGAGAGAGCAAGTAAATTGCCTTTGGAACGGGTTAATGGGTCTGTAAAAACAACTTTCTTGTTCGCCATTCCATTGACCATGGTTGTGACAAGTGGCTCTGCTACTAAGGCCATAACCATGCAAAGCACAAAGCATTATGACGTCGTCGAAGTCATCAACGCAGACGCAGACACTGTCGCCTTCCTAATTCGTACTCAAGTAATCGGTGGTGCACATCACACATCCATATTTCTTATGTATGAAGATTTGTATCTACATATGTATGTGTGTATCTATGTACGCGCATACGGTAGTGACGAAAGGGGGAAAACACGCAGGCACAAATACGCACACGTTACCTCGGCTTGCTTGTTCAGCGTGTATGTATAGATTAAATGTATTTCAGTTAACTGTTTACCGCATATTTATTAAATCAAAGTTAAAAGTCCCTATATTCGCTTTCTTGATTATATTAGATAGTTTGCTCCGATTTAACATTTACAAAATGCCTATCTATGAATTTTTAACACGAACAAATAGTTGTATGTATATCACGCACGATTATCCACTTACACTAAAGCGGCCCGATGAACAAGCCAAAAAATACTCCAGCATAAATAATCGCACTCAACTGCCGTAATGACGGATATCTGAACCGAACTCACTCATATTAACACTTCGCTCAGATCGTAGATGACTTTGCGTGCAGTTCCAACTCGATGATGTATAATCGCTGATCCCGCTGTCAGCAACAAAATTAAAAGAGCTGGAGAGTTCCGCTGCGAAGAGTACATGCTTTCAGTAGATGGTAAGTAGGTATGTGGGTACATACAAATGGAAGATTAAAGAGCATTGCGAGAACAGCTCTGTTTCCTAAATACTCTGGAGGTGAAAATTTAAACAGCTAACAGCCGACACTACAGAAGAAGTAAGTAACCACAGTTATCTAATTCATGGTGTACACTGTTAACAATATCGCCGGCTATTAACAGCATCTCTGTTGTTGAGCAATGAATGTTAATGAAATACAGAAAAGAGGTAGGCATATTCATTCAAAATTTCGCTCAGACACTCCATCGCCATAAATAAGAGAATGCGACCAAAATTATTTACTTAGCCAAATGGTTTTTGTCCATACTAAATATTTTTGCTCTGTCAAGAGAGCATTCTGCAAGCCTGCGAGTGAATTCTCTTCTCTGAGTGAATATTTGATCGAAGAAATGACGAGCTCAGTGCGATAATAAGTGGCAATTTTACGATACAATTATGAAGCAACTAAAAAATATGTAGCGATCTAGAGTTAACGCTAACAGGAACAAAGTATGCATAAAATAACTTATGTTTCATACGTAAATATTAACAATTTTCAATTTGAATACTACCATTTTAAGTGGTAAAGATTAAGTGATAGTGAACTATTTTTCAAAAGCATTAACAACATTTCGCTAATGCTTTCATATATTTTTACGAGCGAGCATTTATTGTTTTTTTTCGTTTATCAGTTTATACTACTTTTTATACATTTTTTACTAGATAGCAATTGTCGTATTTAGTTCATAGAGAACAGTGCATGCACCTTCGAATTTTATTCATGCGCACCACTCTGTGTCCGTATTGTACTAGGTGTACGAAATAAGTTAAATTTTCAGTCAAAGAAATTCATTTAAGTAGATCACCCTGTGTGCTTCAATATTTCTTGATGTGTTGAATACAATGCTCGCGACAGACAAATATTAAAATACACACGTTCTTATGGACGCACCTATTTTGACAGCTGCACGACTACACGACTGCAGGCCGACAGTTGTCGTTCTCGCTAACTTCAATATACTCCTATATTTGCCAACGACAGTAGAGTTGACAGTAGAATGGAAGATAGAGAGATGAGGTAGAGTGGTGCTGCCACTAATATGTAAAATGTAAAATTACTCAAAGCTCTAACAAAACTGACGTTATTTTACAAATAAAAGCATAAAATAGCTACATCATTTATAATAACAATTGATATTTTAAAAAGAATAAATTTACCTATTTACTTATTTTTTTCTTAAAAATTTCACTTTGAACAAAATATTAAAATTTGAGAAATTCCAAGTCAGGGTAATGGTACTAGGTCAGTATAGTAAAACCCTCAAAGGGTTTGGCGTTCCCACTTTTAAGGTGACTCACGTCAATTTTATAAAAAAAAATTTATTTATTGGCATACAGGAGTACCTCGATTCTTGCACGTAATGAAAACGGAGCTCGGTGAAAGTGTTGAGGATGTTGCCAGTACCGATTAACTTTTTTCATATAAAATAAACGAATCTTACATACATATACATATGCTTTTGTTTAAAATATGTACATATTTTTTTTTATATGTATGTGTTTCAATCCAAAAATCCTTAAGTTAAATATGTTAGTATATATTCATAAATCTGGATAGATGTACATACATATGTAATATTATGTGGAAATAAAAAAATTTAAATTTTTAATTATTTGATACAAGCTCGCTTGTTCAGTACTACGTTGCTTCTGAGCCTCTGAAGCGTCATAACATGGTTTATGGAAGCGTTGTTTTGCTCCGCCCATTCTAGGCAAACATTGAATGATGATATTGTCTCCGCCGACGTAACTTTCTTCGTATTTAGGATCACGTCGTTTGTTTCTTCACTTTCAGTAGAGTTATCATTATCAGCACAGTGAACTTCATGGACTTCAATGTAGGTTCAACAATCCATTGCTCAATTTCAGAATTGAATATTTTCTACAATGGTTCTACTTCTTGAAGCAAACTTAAAATGGGGTGAATTGTAGATGTATCTTCAGCTAACTGTAAACGTAGCTCTGAAAGAGCCCATTCGGTGGTTATGTCAAAAAATTTGTGAAAGGAATGGAAGACACATTAACGGCATTCCATGCATTAGATAAAAGAAAACATATACTGATGCTTTTCAGTACTTCGTCTACTGATTTTCCTCGTCGAACGATGTGACCTAAAAGGCTTGTTTTATAGTTAATTTTCGTAAGGCTAATGACATTCTGGTCCATGGGCTATACAATTCGGAGGAGGACACATTCCCAATATTTGACCACAAGTACTTTTTAACTCTCTTTCTTTGGGGTGACGGGGTGCATTATCTAAAAGTAAAATAGCCTTTTCGGGAAGATTTTCGCCACGGAAAGACTCTTTCACCTGAAGCTTTAAGAAATTTTAAATTGATAAAGCAAAACATCTACACACCTTTGGAACAAATGTTTTGTGAAACCATTCTTCCAATAAAGTCAAGGTCCAACCACTTTTATTTCCTTTGTAGACAACAGGCAAATCCGTAACATTTTAATGTTAGGTTGGATTCAATGATTTCACAATAACCTTTAATTTTATAATATGATTTCCAGACGCATTCGTACAAACAACAAAAGCTATTATTTTTTCACCGATCTTATGTCCCGGAGCCGAGATTTCTTTTGAGCGCACAAGAGTTCCATTAGGCAAAAGCTTCCAAAAGAAGCCAGAACCATCAGCATTGTATATTTGCCCCTTGTTCAAACATAAATCAGTAGTTTTTTTGTTTAAGTTTTGCAAAATGGATTAACTGAATTACTATTATTCGAAAGTTTTTCGCCACATATTTTCAATATTTGTATACCATATTTGTGACTGCTAGCACGAAAGTCACTTGGCTTTTCTTGTATTTTTGCATGGAAAAGTTTGGTCTTTACCTTGAGCATATCAGTCGTGATGGGTAAGTTCTTTGCTCGCTGTTTTGCAAAGCATTTCATAAGTGCTTTTTCCATTTTTGGAAGTTCTGATGGCTTAAACCTTTTCCACTTTCCAGGACCAGATTCAACATGCGATACGATCTTCTTTATGGTGGCTTCATTTCTTTTAATACGAGCTATTTTTGATCTATGCACTTGAAAACATTTGGCTAAGAAATTGACAGAATATCTTGCACTTAGTTTCTTTAAATGTCAACTTTCTATTTTATTGTTAGCCACGTAAATTTTTTCCTTGCCATTATGATACCGCTCTACACAAAATGTCAGTTAAAACTGATTCAAATCTCCCGAAACACATTCGTAAGAGTTACAACAATTCATCATCAATCGAGGTACCACTGAACATATGTATATTATAAATATAAGATAAATAAAAGTATTGTTACTGTCGTCACTAAATGAAAGCAGAGGCGGCAAATTACTGTCAAAAATTTAACAAACCTATAGACATTGGATGGCACATACCTAAATAAACACGGCGGCAACGCTGACCGTTGAAAAAATTGATTTGAACAGCGCGTTAGAAAACGAAGTTTATTTGCGAAGAAATATTAATTTTTAAGAATTAAAGTCGGTTGCAGTTTATGGAGAAATTGCTTTTACAACAGGATCTATTTCGGCTATTTAAATACTTTCATTTACATCTTCTTTTACTTTTATGTCTTCCTTTTCTTTGCAGTAACCGTTACCAATCTCTCTCTCTTGCAACGTTCTTACTGCTAAGAATGGTGCTGCTTCTGTGCCATATGTGATTGTTGTAAAGTCTTTTATTTTCTCTATGGAATGTATTGGTATTCTCGATCTTCCTTTCTGTTCTATACATCTTTCCGACGTCAGCGCTCATCTCATCATGCCACTTTAGGATGATATCTTGGCCCATCTCTTCTACTGCCTTGATGTCTCTTATCTCTTGATATTCGTCTTCTAGGTCGAAATCTTGTGTTGTCGTCTTAATGTAATTCTGGCATATCTCATCTTTTAGTTTTGGCTCTTCTTCATTGTTTTCTATGTCCTAGTTTTCATGAGTGGAGGATGGAGTCATATGTAGAAGTTCACGCAAGTGAGGAAAGTTCTCTGATCGCCATTCACTTGGGAGTGGCCAGAAACGATTTTTTACATATGACTCAAGCAGCACACGACTTCCGGTCTTTGACCAAGTATCCTCTGGGTAGCCTAAGAACATCCGTTTGAAGGCGAGCTAAAGTGAGAAGGCGAAACATCGCCTGCATAGGGTTGTGCGCTGGGTATGGGACCCGCCACGTAAAAAAACACCCCCAATGAAAACGCAACAACAGCCTCGGATGAGAGACCCCACTTTTGATGACGACCATGGCAAGGACTACGAATTGAGGGCATGAACCTGGAATGTCCGGTCCCTTAATTGGGAAGGTGCCGCTGCCCAGCTGGTTGATATCATCGTAAAAATAAAGGCTGACATCACCGCCGTCCAAGAATGCGATGGACTGCATACTGCCATACTGCAGTGGCCATATAAAGGAGCGCAAGTTTGGTGTGGGATTCGTGGTGGGAGAGAGACTCCGGCACCGAGTACTATCATTCACTCCGGTGAATGAACGTCACAATCCACATCAAAGCGAGGTTCTTCAACATATCGCTGATTTGAGCCCACGATCCGACGGGAGGAACGGGAAGGACGATGTGACCAAAGATGCCTTTTATAAGTGCTTGGAACGCACTTATGACAGCTGCCCCCCCCAAAGAAGGTCTCTTTGGCAATACGGTCGGTAAATTTAGCCTCCACGAGGAAACATACCCAAATGGGTTGAGGCTGATCGACTTCGCCGGGGCCCGAAATATGGTTATCTGTAGTACCAGATTCCAGCATAAGAGGATACATCAAGCTACCTGGCTGTTTTCGGATCGAAAAACTCACAAACCAGTTCGATCATGTTGTGATAAACTTAATACACGTCTCCAGTATTTAGATGTGCGTGCGCTCCTAGGACTCGGACCGCTATGTTGTTGCAGCCAAGATTCGCACCCGCCTCTGTGCAGCAAAAAACACACGCCATCAAATACAAGGAACGTTCGACGTCGAGAAGCTGCAATCACAACAAACAACCGAACGATTTTCTACTCGGCTTGCACTCCTACTCTCTGAGAGCACTCGTCAACAACTCGGTATAAGGGAACTGTGGGACGACATTTCAAACTCCGTACGTACAGCTACAACCGAAACCATTGGTTTTCGGAGTGCAAAAGAACAGCTGGTACGACGAGGAGTGCCGTGTCGCAGCAGAAAGAAAACAGGCTGCCTACCTCGCAACGTTACGATCGACCACAACAGGTACGGGATGAGATAGATACCGAGAGTTGAAGAGGGAAAGCGGCCGAAGTGCGTGAATACGAAGAGCTTGATAAGCTGGCCGACAGGGGTAATGCTCGAAAATTCTACGAAAAATTGCGGCGGCTTGCAGAAGGTTTCAAGACCGGAGCACACTCTTGTAGAACCCAAAAAGGTGATCTAGTCACCATATCCGATTGGTACAATTACAAAAGAACCGTGTGATATGACTCATGAAAACTTCTTCTTCTTCTTAATTGGCGTAGACACCGCTTACGCGATTATAGCCGAGTTAACAACAGCGCGCCAGTCGTTTCTTCTTTTCGCTATTCCAATTGGATATTCCAATCGTAGCCAGATATCAATGTCAATATCATCGGCATACGCCAGCAGCTGTACACTCTTATAAAAGATGGTACCAGCTTTATTAAGTTCTGCAACTCGAACTATTTTCTCCAGMAGCAGGTTGAAGAAGTCGCACGATAGGGAGTCGCATTGTCTGAGACCTCGTTTGGCATCGAACGGAGAGGTCCTCCCCGATCCTGACGGAGCTTTTGGTGTTAATCAACGTCAATTCACACAGCCGTATTAGTTGCGGGGATACCAAATTCAGACATCGCCCTAAAAAGGCAGATGCTTTTCGTGCTGTCAAAAGCAGCTTTGAAATCGACGAAGAGGTGGTGTGTGTCGATTCTCCTTTCACGGGTCTTTTCCAAGATTTGGCGGATGGTGAAAATCTGGTCGGTTGTTGATTTTCCAGTTCTAAAGTCACACTGATAAGGTCCAATCAGTTTGTTGACGATTTGCCTTAATCTTACACACAATACGCTCGATAGAACCTTGTACGCGATGTTGAGGGAGCTTATCCCACGGTAATTGGCGCAGATTGGGGGTCTCCTTTTTTGTAGATTGGGCATAGCACACTTAAATTCCTATCGTTGGGCATGCTTTATTCCGGCGATATTTTACAAAGAAGCTGATGCATGCTCCTTATCAGTTCTTCGCTGCCGTGTTTGAATAGCTCGGCCGGCAATTCATCGGCACCCGCCGCTTTGTTGTTCTTCAGACGGGTAATTGCTATTCAATGGCAATGGAACGTCTGCGCCATTAATAGTTAGCAAAAAGGTAATTAGAAACATTTGAGAGGGTAACAGTTGGAAAACGATTCACTGAAGAACCCTAATGTATTTGTAAATTTCTATGTGTGTATGAACACACTTATTAATATTTATTTCGTTGTTGAATATGCGCAATGATTTTTTTTTTGTTGTTATGACAACAATATTATAAGCTTAACTGTTATTTTTCCAAATTCAATACCGTCAATTACGTGAAAATAATAAAAATGGAGATGATCGAGTTCTTACAACATACGAATCTTCGTAACTTGAAATTCAGTGTTAAATCTATGGTAAATATAGTATAGACAACCCAGAATCAATCAGTTGTCAACATTTACATTTCATGAAGCAATTATTGATTATATACACTTCAAATTCAGGTTAAAGACAGGTTACGAAGGATACATGATGATCTTAATGAAAGGAGATTGCTGTTAGTATGGACTTGTGCCTTTTTGCATATTTACATTTACTATATTTTAGCACCGATACATTCGTATGTATTTATACATGCAGGTTACGATGTAATTTAGAGTGTGAGAACCTAAGGTATTCAGAGGAATTGGCTTTGTTCATGAAGAATCGTATTGAGGAAGCAGCCAGGAAGAGGGAGCAATGGTTTGGTATCCAGAGAGTACAGCGGGAGCATGACAAAGATAAGTTCCTTCAACTGAAGACTTTGCAGAGAGAAATGTACAGTTAAAAATGTCATACAAATTAAATTGCACACGTTATGATTTTTGTTACGTATCTATTGAACATTTTACGCAGGGAAAACTGTGAGGCAACGAGGCATCGGCAAAGCAAAGCGCTGCTATTGGATACTAAAGAAGCCCAACTGCATCAAATGAAGGAAAAGGAAGCAATGAGGCAAAGAGAAAAGCAGATCGACTTAATATGGGAAGACGTTACTCGGCGATATTTCGAAGAAAAGGTAAAATTCGCAAGGAAATCACTAACAGTAATTGTGCCTTTCTCAACACATTCCTAAATATTTTAATTACAAATGGATATATTATATTTGTATATACATATGTAGGCTAAGCAAGATGTTGTGGAAAAAAAATTACTCAAAACGATTGCGGGAATCAATCGGAACATTAACATAAAAAATTACGAGTGTCAAAGGAAGAACAACAAAGTTGCCGAACAAGCAACTCGAGAACAATTCGTGAAGGAGTAAGTATTTCACGAAATATTATAATTTTATACATATATGTATGTATATTCCTATACATATATACACAAATTGTATATATTTTATATATTTATATCCAACAAAATATGAGTATATATATATATATATGATCTTCAGGACGAGCTGAATCGATTTAGCGATGTCCGTTTGTCTGTATAAACGCGAACTCTCTAAGTTTTAAATTTCTATTATATAGCATAGAATATGAATATGAGTTCTATAAATATACTTGTAAGATCCGAAATTCCACATTACCGACAGTATTTACAAATGGACAAATTTCATGAACACAATGTTTTCATACACTATAAACAAAAAAATTCAAAAAAATTTTTGAAAAAAGTATTTTAAACTCGGCCATTGCAATGCCATTTCCGGTGACCTCTTGAAAAACATACATAGGGTTACCATATCGGTCTCAGTCAAAATCAGTTCCGTTGTATATGTTGCAAATTGACACAGCTGGTCGTTAACTGATTGCGCAAAAAACTCGTCTCATATTTCTCGGTCCTCTTTTCTCGATTTCAAGAATTGATTTCCAAAATTCTATTTTTTCTTTCTCGATCGATGCCACTTTCGATTTAGCAAAGTCATTGAATAAAAAAGGATGCAAAAATGCGGAGTGTTTCTCAATCGATAAAAAAATACGACTTCAACAGAATAACTTTATCAAGATTCTTTCGAATACTGGAAATAAACTAAGTGCTGAACACATTGAGAGCGACAGGACATGGCAGCACGACAGTGAACTGCAGATGGCGTCGTGAATCCTCCAACATGAACATTTGTAAGAAGACAGCGACACAAAAATGGCCGGCATGTACACAAAACAACACAGCTGTCCAGTTTGCATGTACACAATTTCGTTGTCGCCATACTGATACCTTTCACTTCAATGAAATTTTAATATTTTATGAAGTGAAAGTTTTTATGCAAAAAATAAGTAAATAGGTAAATTTATTTGTTTTGAATTATCAATTGTTATTACTAATGATATAATAGAGCTAATTTATGCTTTTATCTGTAAAATAACGTCAGGCTTGTTAGAGATTTGAATAATTTTACATATTAGATATTAGTGGCATCCTCTCCTCTTCCCTCTGCTCTCTACTGTCATCGGCAAAATTTTAAAATATTTTTAAATTAGCAATAGCGACAACTGAGAGCCTGCAGACGTGTTGTCGTGCAGCTGTCTAAATAACTGTGTCTTAAGAACGTGTGTATTTTAATATTTGACAGATGTCGCTTGCTGTCTGTCGCGCTCTATGTGTTCAGCACTTAAGCCACCTCGTTTGGAAAGAAAAAGTTTTTAATTCTTCTGTGTTCAAAGTGTAAATTGAAAAATTTGAACAATTCGAAGGCTATGATTTCAATGTCAAAAAATCGAGTTTGAAACAATCCAAGTCATAATGAGCAGAATGTGCAAAATGTGAGCTAGACATGGCTTTTTAGAAAGCCCAGGATTGAAATCTTTTTTTAACAAAGAAAAAAACATTTTGGGCTCTTTCTCGATTGCTGATACTTGTTCGTCCAATTATTTTTTTCTTAAAAATGTCATGATTAAAATTTCAAGTTTCAGTGGCGTCTGTTTCATTTTTAGTTTTTTGCAAGTCTAATAACTTAACTTGGATGTCATCTTTTTTGTAATTGAAATATTGACTAGTGAAAGGGAAAAGTTTGTGATTTCCATGATTGGAACCATCTGTACTGATGCTACAAAATGGGATTTCTTTCAAGTATTTTACCACGACACCAACAGAATGAGGAGCCAAAACACTATTGATAATGGCTTTAGTCTTCGACCGCGAACAAGAAAATCAATCAGTACATTTTTCACGAAAATCAGGAAATAGTGCTGAAGGTCAAATTCAGGGAATATGGTAACTCTATCCTTACAGGATCATTTAAAGTGAAAAAATACGTATTTCAGTCAAAACATTAACTTAGAACTTGGACAAAGAAGAAAAAACTGGAAATTGGATTTTGGCAAACATTTTTACAAAAAAATTAAATTTCAGTAAAAATTTCGCGACATTTTTTTCCAAATAGTTGCAATCGAAAAAAATCATTTGTCTAAGTTTTTAAGAATTATATCTCAAGGACCTGTGTAAAATTTCGTGAAGTTGGTTGAGTAGTTCTCAATCTTGCCTACCGACTTTAAAAACACAGATTCGAGAAAAACGCGTTTAAAGATTTGAGTGACAATAAAAGTGGGACAAAAGTGCACAAGTTCTCAACACTGTATCTCCGTAACTATTACTATTCAACTTGAATATTGTTGTAGAATTTAATAAGACAATTGAAAAATCGATTTTTTGAAACCTTTAAACCGAATATACCAAATTCCTGTAATCGGAATGAATTCGTTCCAATGACCGAACACCGCAATTTGTCGATTCCAGGTCTCAAATCAAACAAACTTTCAGTCAAAAACTGAAGACATTTGGAACAATTTGAAAACGATAACGACACAAGCAAAAATTCTCCCATTCTCATATTCATCTGCGTAGTTTGGATTGGATTATTTCAAGAAATTATGCCATTTAATGACCTCCAAAAAGTTCTGAATACTTCTTTCGGAGTTATTTGAAGTCGTTGGTCTTTAACAATAAGTCAGACTCCCTTCACGCTTTAGAATTCAATACTCAACGTGCCATTCATGACTTACGATTTGTGGAAAAAGTCCTCTAAAATTGGGTTCATCGAATTCGTTAATCCAAAAGAATTAAGTTAGTTGCTCAATATCCTTAATTGATACCTTTATACAATATTACAGAGACATGCTTCACACCCTAATGAACGGATCACATCTTGCACAAAGGAAAGGCGCAGAGAGAAATAAGAAGCTACTTCTACAAAAAGAGCTAACGGTGGATAATAATTTAAGAACATGTTAAGAAATTTCTCTAAATACTTATATTTAATTTCAGGAGCAAATTACAGAAAATGAGATAATACGCTGGAAAAATAAAAAACTCTTGTTCAATGAAGAGGTGAAAATTATAGAAAATTGTAATAGAGAAATCTTGAATAATCAACAAGAAGAGGAAAAACGAAAGGTGGGTAACAAAACTTAAAATTTATTTATTATTGAATTGAATTCATGAATGAACAGTAGATAAATAGTTTAAAAATATCCAAAATTAAATATACATTCGGGTATTTCATTTTTAATTTCTTTATTTCTTTGCGGACTTCAAAAAAATCCCTGAAAACGGAAGCCCTTAATTTTTGACTTCAGATGCTTCCCATTTCGATTTTTTAAGTTTTGCACATATTTTTGAAAAAATTTAGTAAACCATGAGTTCCTTCAGAAGTAGTAAAAACCTATCTCTTATTCCTGGCCGTAAACCAAAAATGCTACATGTTTGTGGGCAATAACTTTATTAGGCTAAGAAGCTTCATTTTAATGAAAGAGAGGAGATTTGAAATACTCGTATAATATCCGTATACAGTTGTGTTCACGATCCAGGATAGGGATAGGGTGTTTGACAAATCGTGCTTTAGTCTTCTCAAGCTGTCATATTATTTTTGTTCAATATTGTTTGGCATTTCATCATGGAAAGTAAGTTTTTACAAATCGTTCAAATTTTAAAAGAAAATTCACGTTCTGCTGGCCTATTCTGTAACTCGATTCGAAACAAAATTTACTCGAATTCGGATTTTTTATATTCCGTAACTAAATAACGTAAAACGAAAATTGTACGTATTTATTCTGGCACAGGGTGGTACAACTTTCGAAAAATTATAAAGTAGATCCGAATTTCGAATATAATACATTTACGAATCGAGATACAGAGTAGGGCCCCTGACAAGAATATATGTATTTCTTGCGCTTCGCTCAACTTACGGTCAATTCGCAACACCATCATCCAACTTGAAAGTCATTGAATAATATTCGACCGAATACACCACGAAAATATAGCAGCCTTAGCTGAGAGTGTACACGAAGACTCGGACATATAAAAAGATAATGTTCTTTCGAATGATATTAAACATTATCCATTAATTTGGAAATTTCCATGCTTATTATTTAAAAAGTAGAGAACGAAATGGATCACAAATGATCACCGATTATTTTGGAACAATAAACATTATAAAAACGAAAAAATCCATTACATTCGCTTCCACTGCCTTTTCTATAACGCATTTTTATACTTTCTGCAAAAACCAGAACAAATACAAATATTATAGATAATCGTTGGGGCGATAAATAAAAAAATAAATAAATAAAATCTCCTATTAAAGTTGAGGCAACTGACTCGGAATTTTAATAGTAAATTAAAAAAAAAAATTTTAATTTTTTTCCATTGTAGAATCACCTTGTTTCACCCTTGTTGTAATACTACTTGTAGTAAATTAAACAAAAATAGATATTTTTAATAAAATAGGAAAGATTTACCAATATTTTGATACAATAAATAAAATTTTAATCAAAACTAGGTAAATTACATCTTTATGAATTTTAACAATCGAAATATATTTGAGAATTTAACAAAAATGTACGGGACTACAGGGATAATACATCCCAGCAAATTTTGAACTTCTGTATTTTCTTTACTATGCACGTTATTAGTTTTGTAAAAACTTCCAAGAACAGTTTTAAGTATCGTCTTTGCATTGTAAACAAAAACATAACGGCACGTTTTTGCATTTTGATGTCACATTTAACGGAATCTCACAATTTCACAAATTTTCATCAGTTTTGTTTCGTTTTTTGGCAAAATCAGCCGCAATAAAAGATTGATCATAAATTTTAAATTTAGTTTATGTTAAGAAGAGTTTAATATGTGGAATCAAGCGATATATTGACCTTTTTTGCTACTTTTTGCTGTTAAAATAAATTTTATAAACGTGTGACATATAATCCCAATAAGCTTTTTACATTGGATTAATTGTCCCAATCTGCAAATCGAAACAAAAGTTAAAATTTGAAGACTCGGAACGTATAATGTGTGAAGAATCAGACTTGAATACTGATTTTAAGGATTCTGGAAGCGAATACTTGCAAAACAGCGGCGACGAAGAGACTGAAGACGCTTCAGAAATTGAGGACTGTTTTGATGTGGCCGATGGAACCACCGCAGTAAACGATTGTCCCTGGACCTTCCGAAGCAAACAGCGAGATGCATTTGTTTGCCCAGGGGGTAAATACTTTTCCCGATGATTGCCAGAACTTTACTCCAAAGCATGCATTTCCTTCTGAATGAGACTATTGAGTATATTTCCATACAGCGTGTGCATTAGAATTGCTGAATGTACTAATCAGCGATTGGTCGCTTTGAATCGTCGCGCTCAATCACAAAGAAATTTAACTGATCCAAATAAAACATTACAACAAGTTTCCGTCCCTAAAAGACTATTGGAGTAAAAATCCATTGATGGGAAACTCTGTTATAAAAAATTGTATCTCGCGAGACCGATTTTTGTTGTTATCCTCGAAGCTTTATTTCAATGACTGTAATAAGCCCGACGACGTGTCAAAAGATTATTATATTTCTGATGTTTTGCAATGTCTAAAACATACATTCGCAATTGCTCCAAGCGAAAGTGTATTCCAGTCTATCGATGAATGCATGAGTTATAGACAGTTTCACATGTATTTGGTTATAATGTACATGTTTACAAATACATTGTTTACAACCTAAGTGCAGCTGAGAAAACATAAATATTTATGTATAGTTATAAGTACTAGTTGTAGATAGTCACACATGTGTACAAATACTTTTGATTATCAGTAAAAATCAGAACAATAAGAATGTAAATACAAATAGTCCCAAAACCATAAATTTTCCATTTCCAGAGTTTTTGTAAGTCTGTTCTCAAAATCTTTATGTCAGGATAATAGAACAACGTCCGGTGTGTTTAACGTGGGTACCTGCTGACGACAGCCTGACTCCACGGCACTCAAAAGTACTGCGGATCAAATCACTGCGTTGATCAGCGCCCTGAGAATGCCAAGCATTTTCAGTACCAATTGGCAGTGTGGAATGGACACACTAGCCACCTTGGTCGGGTTCGAGGCCCATCTAAAACCTCTGCCGTGCTTTGGGTCMGGCAYCYGGTTGCAATGCAACTCCACATTCAACTGACAAAGTCAGTTCTTCCCACAACCACCATGATACTCCCCGAGGGGCCAGTCCGCATGAGCAGGTTGGAGTTACCTCCAAGGGCACCTGCTCCCTGTGGTACCAGAATTACGTCGCCGGTCAGACCTCGTGGCCGAAACTACTACCAGTTGAGCTTCCATACGGCTCTGGACTGGTGGCCAGGGGTTGGACCCCATGCATACATCACATACACACACCAATCATGCAAATCTTACCCTAATTTCCAACTAACCGCCTTCGCGCGCAAACAACCCTAACTGTTCGGTATTCCGATTAGTGGAGATCACACCACTAACGTCTAATCGTCCATCAGTCCAGCTAAGCCCTATACCACCCAAATTCCTAATGTCGGAGTACATCGGGCACTCCGCAATTAAATGCGGCAAATTTTCCAACCCCGCCCCACAAAAACACCCCGACGTATCTGATAGGTGCCTCTGATGCAAAAATGTAAGGAGGAATCCCAGACTCAGACAAAATATGAAGTCTGGGTTATCCTCAACGAACCCAACGTCCCGAATGTACTCGTACGTCATTCGGCCGTTAGGACTATTGCCCCAACGTCTTTGCCACCTGCGCCTAACCCTATCATCTAGGAGCCTGTTGCTCCCTAGATATCCCTCCCTCTCCACATCGTCGTCGGAAATCCAATCGTTCCGCAGCAACAACACACTCAAAGCCCACGCTGTATGACAATCAGGTCAAGAGGGGGTGCACCTAGTAAAACCTGCATCGCATCCGTTGAGACGGTGCGACATACAGGCAAACAAGCAAGCATAATGAGATACTGGATTGAGAGTAGTTTTTGAGACCCCCATATAGTCGTGGCTGCCTCCCACCATACAGGGTCTCCATATGTGGCACAGGCCACAAACAAGCCACAATATATGGTGCGGACAGCACTTCGTCCGAGACCCCAATCACTCCTAAAAATGCGGCGTATTTTGCCTAYAGTTGCCTGCAGTCGCTCCTTCACATACGCTAAGTGTGGAGTAAAACACATCCTTTCACTCATAGTYAACCCCAGATATTTGACTTGCGTCACATATCTGATGCTGACCCCATTCACATGGACAATCGGTGGACGAACCGGTGACAATCTGCTCTTAAGCAGAATTGTTACCGTTTTTTCCCTCGATATGTCCACCCCACAGCTACACCCCAAGTATTCACGATCTCTAGGAGATCTCCTCCCGCTTTTCCAAGTACCGAAAAGAGACTGATGCCTCGATAAGATCGAGGATCGCTCCTGACCTTATCGGGGGACTTCAGGAGAGGAACAACCCTAGCATTTTTCCACTCGCGCGGCAAGTATCCCTTCCAAACGCACTTATTATAAATGGCCTCCAGGTATTCCGGAATGAACTTCCAGAAGCTTTTACACATCTCTCCGTTCCAACCATCAAAACCCGGGGACCGTTTAGACCTAACCAGGCCAAAGGCGTACGCCAGCTCCACATCATCTAATGGCGGAACAGGCACCCCTTGTGATTGAGGTACCTGCACTTCCGACCTGGGGAAGAACGCACCTAACAGAACCCCCGCACACTCTCTCCACGACGATAACAGAGTGTCACTGACGCGAAGAGAGGTGACATCCTCCCTTCTACGACCCCTGCAGATCCTATAGACCTGACCCCAGGGATCGTTCCTATTCTCTCTCACAAAACTCCTCCAATCTTCCTCTTTATATTTAACTAGCATCTCCTTATACTCTGCACAACTAAATTCATACCTAAGCTGGGACAGCCTATCAGATTTGGACTGTCGGGCGCGTTGAAATCTTCGCCTCAATCGCCTGACAGACCTCCTCTTCAAGATTAGCTCACGCGTCCACCATTTAATTTTGCTAACTCTAGAACATTCACACTTACCAAAAACCCTATCATTCACCCCCCAGATTACCTCATAGAGACGAGCAATTAGCTCGTCCACCCCCAACTCCTCAA